ATGATGAAAAGAAACACATGGACAGCAGTTTTTAAAGAGTCTTTGGGCTATTGGAAATAATTCAATGAGCTTTAGCCAAGCTGCAATATAAACATACTAAGAAGGGACCAAAAAATATTTTATATAAAGCTGCATTTTTCATCTGGACTGTTTAATCTAACTCAGGATTACAAAAAGGAGGTATATGGGAAAAGCCATAATTATGTAAATTTGAAAAAAGAAAGAGACCCTTCCTGCCCTGCTCAGTTGGTTGGTGTTTGGAAATACAAACCACAGAGCAACAGTTACGTAGCACTGGTTCCACCATCTGAAATTACAGGAGTGAGACGTAGAGAGGATCTGGCAAGTTGAGTCCCGCTCCTTTCCAAGAAAAGTTTAATGGTGTTCTCGACTGCAGAAGAAATTAAATAAACTGATGGTGCCTCCAACCTCACTGAATACCAACCCAGAGGGAAAAGCTTACGTTGTACTCGCTCATCAAGCACCACACAATGAGCTAAACCAAATGTGTCGGTGCTTTGCGTATCATGACTATTCTACTTCCTACTAGGAAGTTACCGAGAGCTCTGCTAAAAGTGTTTTCATTGCTGAAGACAGCCCCCAAATGTCATGAACTGCCCATGGAAATGAATTTCTGCTTCTGACTGAAGGTGAGAGGGACACTGTTTTGTTGGTACAGCTGGTACCAGCTACTGCCAAGCACTAGTCCTCTAGCCATTAATTACTACTTTTCCTCAGGTGCCTTCATATCCATTTTAATGGTGACAGATGTTTAGTGCAGTTGTCCTCTGGAGCAAAACATCCTGAAGGGCAAAAATATGCTTTCCAGAGGCTACCACTTCACTCACCTCCCTCACTACCATTTTCCTGCAGAGCATGGCCACTGCAGTATCCACCTGGTTGCACGTACACGGGAGTCTCTGCGACCTCCCAGAATGCCAACTGTACATCAAAGATGCAGCTGTCTCAGTTACTCCGGGAAGTCTCTCCTTCTCCCGGCAGCTCCAGCATTCAGTTACATCGCTGCTGCCTCCCAGCTTTCTGCCGCGCTGGAGGGACACTCACGGACACAGGCCACCAGGGAGTGTTAATCAACCTTAGGTCTGACTGCACACGCTTGCATGTTAACGAGCGTTTGCTCAAAGTCCAGCACTCAAAATTAGGAGATGCCCGGTCTGAGCCATGATAGGGAACCAATTGCTCTTGCAACCTTTGCACCCTCAAGCTGACGCCGATGGAAAAAGGGTTACGTGATCGTGTAATCAAAAGCCAACCGTTGTGCGGAAACCTGGTGGAGGAGGGGGCAGGCTGGAGGTCGGGCAGGCAAACTGTCGTTCTGACACCGCGTTCAGCATTGCAATCAAGTGCCATTATCTTGACGTTTTATGTACACAGAGCTCAAAATGCTGAAATTCTAAGAAAAAATAGAAATGTTACATAAAATGTCCTCCCTGAGCCCCTCCCTTTTAAATGATGCACTGTTTGAATCCCAAATGCTCATTTTTGCTGTGCAGATCATTTGGACTACAGGATTTAATACGTTAACATTGCATTATTAATCCAGACAGAACAGGAAAAATTGATTTGTAGGAACAGATGCAGCTGTGAGAGAATGGAAGAGAAAGGGTCAACTGACAGCTACTAAGCGGGGGAGGGATTTTGAAAACTGCTGGAAGCTGAAAGGAAGAATCTGGGCCACAATGACATTAAGAAACTGGAACAGATGATGCCAGGCCATTACAGAGAAGGCAGTGAGGTTAGTGCAAGCATGGATATGGAGAAAGTAATTCTTTCTCTCCTCCTGGCAGAGGGGAGACTTAAAAGCCCCATCATCTGCCCTTGTCCTTAGAAAGCACAACCGTGTTCATCACAAAGCTCCCACTGAAAAACTAACCCCTTGGTCTGGTGCTCAGACCCTGTGTAATCACCCATAGGCATGTCCACAGCTTCACCACACAGGCATGTCCACAGCTACTCTTGGACCTTCCTGGGAATGTCCCAATGCTTTGGCAATGTCTAAAGGTCACGATGGGTTACGGCCTTATGTATCTTTAGATCTGGATTTTAGCTTGATGTCATCAGCACAGGTGATTACAGCTGCTTGAGCCTCATGCAACAAAAACTTCAGTTTGCATCACAGTGTTAGCACATAATGTGGAGGGCTGGGTTTTCAGAGTGCAGTGAGGTAGGGATGATGCCAAACAAAGAGCCTGCTACTGTTGTGAAGAAAACCTTAGGCTTTTACTCAGTGCCCAGAGCTGTGAGTATTTCACCTCACAGCTTACCCCAGCAAAGAAATGTAAAGACAGAATTCAGTATTTCCAGCAGAAGGTAGTAAGTGACATTGCACAACACACCACTGGGTCCAGATATATTACTTCTCCTGCTCCACTAAGTCACACGACGATTTGCTGGAACAGAGAATATAAGGAACTGGAATCAGCTGGCCATCACTGACGGCTGCATGAAGAGACACTTCTGGCCTTTCAGACCATTTAAGATGCCATTAAATTATAAAATATTACTTAACTTAGGATGTTGACAAAGGGAAAAAAAATCATACTCCTAATAACTCCATACATACTCCTGATTTGCTTCTGACACCTTTGAGTATCTCAACTGCACGTAGTAAAACAAAAAGACACTTTCTCATAAGAAAATCTACTTCAGGTGATGACAGTGTAATGAAATATTTGCTATTGCTTTAATAATTATCAATTTATAATTAAAATCAAAGTTCTTAAGTATAAATAAACAGTGCAGTGAGAATGTATCTCTCCAACCCAGGGCTAAACAGGCTTTTAGAAAAGTCCTGAATAATTTCCTTCTAGATGTTAACTCAGATCATTGTACATGGCACAACTGGAAGAAACAGACAGATGATGCAGTTAAGGCACTTCACTGTGAATTATGTCTTACTTGGGAATTTCTGTTGAACTACTTACTAGATCTTAACAGAATTTAATTCTGCTAAAAACAATGGGAATTTTACTATCTGCTTCAATGTCAAGAATTTAACTCATGGAATCATATCCAGATGGAATATGGAAGGACATAATCAAGAGTTTGTACCTAAATTAAGCACTGAATCTATAATAAATAAGCAGAAGAGCTTAATGTGAATGAGCCAATGATGCTTGAAATCCTGCATCTTTTGCCCTTTCTTTGTGCTGTTCAAGTACTTCTCTTACGTGTCAGATACCTGTGAAGGACTCAGCAACATACTACAGTTGGGGAACTGTAGAACTGTAACATTTGTTGGAAAGAAGAGGAAGTTTCTTGGAAAGCAAAAAAACGACCCAAACAACAAAACCAGGTTTAATTGGCAAAACACACTGCTGAAAACGTTGAGGGAGCGCAGCCATCAAACCGCACGCAGTGATGACTACCCAGACATTCAAGGAAGTATTTTATGGGAGAGGTCAGACGCAGTCTCTAAAAAAGTAGATGTGCTGGCCAGTGCTGATGGTGTCAGCACTGCAACGTCAGTTCACTGTCAAGCAGTGAAAAGGGTGGACAGATATGCCCTAGAGAATAAGGACATCCAGCAGTGGAAGACAAGAGTATACATGGGATGGAGCAAATACTGCTCCCTAATACGGAACAGATGATGGATGTATTCTCCCATTCTCATTTAAAGGCACAAGTTTCACAAGAAAAAAAAAAGAGAGAATATTAAATAACAATTCTATTCTGCAGACAATATTCCAAACCTGTATGACCCTGTATTTCACACAAATCAATGGACATTTATACAAGTCAGTGTTCTTTATACAGCTTAAGGAGCCAAACTCACACAAACGGATTTACATAATTACTGCAAAAATTGACATCATTACTCAGAGAAGCACGGTAATGATCTAGGTGATGCTTTTCATTGTCTCTCTGATGAAAACATGAACTCTTACACTGCAGTGTAATTATCCTTCCCAACACAACTCCTGCTTCACAAATATTGCGTCACTCTGACTTCTGTCCTCTTTTACTTCCTTAGGAATTTAGCATCGCCCAGTGTCCTCACAAAATTATTCTACATTTTTTTATTTTTTTATTACACTGAAGTTCTGTACAAAGGGTAGTTTTAACTCTCTCTCCAACCCCAAAAGATGATGTTCCACTAGTGTCTGGCAACTTAATTATTGCATGTTTTGTGTTAAGACTCAGACTCGCAGAGGGTACGTGAAGGAAGATGTCTGTGTACACCCTCTTAGCAAACAAGATGTTAAAAAAGCACCCATAACAAAACCCTTCCTAAATACTTCCATCTTCTGTTCAGAATTACAGAAACCTTAAATTATTTGTTTGAGTCCACAGTTCTTAAGACCACTAGCTTCGCCTCTCTGCCCACATCCAAAACGTCCAGAGTAACATCAGGAAAGAGCAGAGTGAGAGACCACTAGAGTCAGACCCTACAAGGGAAGGACCAAGCCTCTGATGAACACTGTGTCCGACACGCATCCATAAAACCGCATGCATCTCCTGACAAGGCAACCTCACAGCACATAATAGCCCAGTTAACAGAGTTGAAGTGAGGTCAGGCCTGGAATTCTAATTTTAATTGTCTTGTTCTATTTTTTTTTTTATCCTCCTGACTTTTTTTGTTTTAAGATCACAAATAACTTGTGTACATATTGGTTCTGAATAAAGCACTGAGACATGAGTTTATTGTTTCTCTTAGTTGTTATTTCCTACAGGAAGAATACTGCCAGAACAATTTAATAGCATATTCAAAATTAAGAGTGAATTTTGACCCAAATGACTATAAATTAACAACAAAAAAGAAGACAGTAATTTCTTCATTTTCCAAACAAAATGGGAAAAGAACTGCAACAAATGAGCATTTCAAACAGTCACTGAACAATACTGTGAAAGCATGTTTGTTAATAAAGGTAAGGACAGTCCCTTTGGAGGACAGAGGAGTTCTACAGCCTGAGGCTGAAAGCTATGTGTTTTGAGAATTGTCCCGTAAAAAATTAAAATATCTGAACTTCATTAATCTTTGATGATCTTTTCAACAAAACTACCCCACTCAAATGTGAACCATTTCACTTCTCATAAAACTGTGTTTTCAGAGGAGCATGACAGGTTTCCTGTCCAGCTCCCAAAAGATGTGGTTTGAATTTGCTTCAAAGGTGCAGACTTTCTCAAGACGATCACATGGAGGACTGTTCATTCTCATGCGTGACAGTGTTGCTCAAGGCTGTTGCCAAATGTCACAGTACCACTTGCGGCAGCCACAGGGAGAAGGGGGGGTTTTCACAATAGGAATTGTGCAATCAGATTAGCCAGTCCAAGGAGGATTATAAAGATGTGAATGATCAATGCTGGCCACGTCAGCTGCCCAGCACGACGCAGGGAGATCACGTAGATGAGGGAGGGATACACGAACACAAAGGCCAGACCACATGTTGCTCCAGAGTATCTGAGGAATGGGCAGGGAAGAGGGGAAGAAGAAAGAAAAGGAAAAAGAGAATGCTTTGTGTTAACTCTTATTTCTTCTTGTCATTTTTCCTCCTCAAACCTATGAAGAGTTTGGCTGAACAATGACCATCTGTAGTCACTAAACATCAATTTCTGCTCCTCCTTCCTCACCTCCTTCACTGACATTTAATCATTCCCGTCTGGACAGCTCAGCCCCCAGCTCCTATCCCTGCTGCACTCAGACATGCCTCTGACGTCCCGGTCACATCCCCATAAGCTTCTGGGGACTGACTGCCTAGTTGTGACTTGACATTTCTACTTTCTTTGGGCAAATCTGTCAGCGTGCAACAGAAAAAGACTGGACTGTGCATCCTTTGTCAGGCATCCTTCACTGGCATAACTGCCAATCTCACTGCACCCCAGCCATCTGAGGACACGTGTTCAAGCATGTAAGCCTGGAAACGCCCCTGAATCTGCAACTTTTAATTTATTTAATGACTTCCTAGCAAACTGTTCTTCAGACCTGAAAAGATAAATTTGTCCTCCTGGTAACATGATCAACCAGAGCACATGAAACATTTAACTCTTCTTTTTCTAACCGCAATCTTGCTTACCAAAACCTTCTCATTATTCTTCCCTATTGCGAGCTTCCACCTACTAAGCTCTACTGCAGACAAATATGCATTATTAACTAACTACTAACACCATATTTTATTGCAAATATTTGAACATTCCTTTTAGACAGAGGAACCATCTGCAATACAAAACCAGCAAATGCCTACGTCAGGCTGTATAGAGACCATTCACCACCTGGAAATTCACTGTTCAATATGTATGGTTACTGTACACACTATGAACATGTTAGCGGAGGTCAGGATCAGTCTGCAAACAGAGAAATGCACTGCACGATATTTATTTTGAATTAATAACTAGATAATCTCTATTACTGGAAGACAAAAAAAATCATTAAAATGAGAGGTAGAGAAAAAAGGAAATGGAAAAAGCCTCAAAGACCAGCCACTGAGCAAAATTAAGTTATTTGGCTACTATTAGGCTACGATTGGGCTACTCTGGTCAGACCCAAGCCTGTCATTCTGGTTTTATAATTGAAGATTTCTGTATTTTTAAACACCTCCCTCTCCTGGCTGCTGTAGGAAAGATGCAAACTAGGAATGAATAACGATGATTACAAATATGGTGGTGTCAATGTAGAAAATAAAACTCATGAGATGTTTCTTCTAATCTTTCCCAATTACAGAAATCCTAGGTGTTTATTAACATGGTACATTTAAGGCATCATTTAGAAGTACAACTTTTATGTCACTTTTTCCTTTGAAGTTACTTGCTTTCTTGGACTTTCAAAACAGCTTCAAATGGTCTTAACACAAAACAAAAACTTGAGAGACACCACACAATAACCGAGCAACTTTTCTACTGGCACCATATTATTTCATGTGTACAGTTACAAGGTCCTCTGAACCAGCTCCAGTGGAACTTAGGGAATCATCACTATTGCCACAGATAGAGGCACAAGTACAGATCGCTGCTTGTCAGAACTGATTGTTTATACTTCTAAATCATTATTTACAACTTAAAAAGGTGTAAGCCTCACAAAATATAAAGATAGGATTCCCTGCACTCATACCATTCCTTTTTAACATGCAGCACCACCACAGGCAAGTTCACTGTGGAAGCAACACTCACCTTATGATACCTCCTATATTTGGATAAAATCTTGCCATTGCCACTCCAGCTCCTACAATTGCCATGTTCAGGACGAGCACATGCAAAATGCTAGAGGAAAGTGAGGAAAGAG